GTTTAGCGTTTAGGGTTTAGGGTTTAAGGTTTAGGGTTTAGGGTTTAGGGTTTAAGGTTTAGGGAGTTTAGGGTTTAAGGTTTAGGGAGTTTAGGGTTTAGGGCTTAAGGTTTAGGGTTTTCGGGTTCAGGATTTAGGGCTTAAGGGCTTAAGGGGGTAGGGTTTAGGAGTCTATACACTGAATATGAAAATTTTAGGAGCATCCCCGGTATGATTGAAGGTCTACTCCTCAGTTAAGGGGTGTGGGAAGGTCCAGTATTTTCTTGCGAATCTGTTTTGCACGCGGGTTCTTAGCCGCTTTAAAGAGGCTTTTGGCGTTGTTTTGAACTTTATTTACCCATAGGCCCCAAAGTACTTCGTTTTTGGGGTTACCTTATAGGATTCTATATATGAACCCCCAAAAGGAACTACTTTAGGGCTTATGGGTAGTTGATCAGTTTTAATAGGGCTCTGATAGGTATGCTGAGGTTTTTGAAGGTCTGTGTCCTGCGTAGGATTTATGGAGTTGAACAAAGGCTTTGAAGGCTAAACCCATAAACCCTAAACCCTTAAACCCTAAACCCCAAACCCTAAAACCCTAGGCCCTAAACCCCAAACCCTAAAACCCTAAAGCCCTACACCCTGAAGCCTATTTAGGTTGCGGGGATCATCGCTGCAATGTGTTTCGACGTTCGACGTAGTTGCGGCTTGGACTGGGCTTCCGCTTGCTGGGGTTTTCGGGCCGAGAGGCTATATTACCCAGAGGGTCCATTAGGGTTTAGGGCTTAGGGCGTAGGGCTTAAGGTTTAAGGTTTAGGGTTAAGGGTTTAGGGTTTAGGGTTGAGGGTCCATATACACTACCATTCATCATGGAATCAGGTCCCAAAAGGCCATCCTTATTCTGGTTTTGGGGACTTAGTTCCATAATTGTAGTATATATAGGGACCCTCTTGGTTACCCTAAACCCTACTCACTAAACCCCTAAACCCGGCTATAAACCCCTAAACCCGACAACAAAAACCCTAAACCCTGCACCCTGAACCCCAAACCCCATGAAAACTCCATTTGAACCCTAAACCCTAAACCCTAAACCCTAAACCCTAAACCCTAAACCCTAAACCCTAAACCCTAAACCCCCCTATATACTAAGGGGCTGGTGCAGTTCACAGGGTTTCTGGCTTTAGGTGAGGGCTTTGTAGGCGGTAGGCTGCAGCCGAAGGGTTTAGGGGTTTAGGGTTTAGGGGTTTGGGGGTTTAGGGTTTAGGGGTTTAGGGGCTAAGGGGCTTAGGGGTTTAGGGTTTAGGGTTTAGGGTTTAGGGTTTAGGGGTTTAGGGGTTAGGGGTTTGGGGTTTAGGGGTTTAGGGTTTAGGGGTTCGGGTTTAGGGGTTTGGGCCGGGGGTTGCATCCCAACATTAACTATTGAATCCTAGGTCTAAGGATCTGTCCTTGCAAGCTTCCCGAAGCCCGAGCTCCGATCTAGGGTTTAGGATTTTAGGATTTTGGGCTTTAGGGCTTTAGGGGTTTAGGGATTTAGGGTTAAGGATTTTAGGCTTCAGAGCTTCAGGGGTCTAGGGATTTAGGGTTTAGG